CCAGGAGAAACACTAACCATGTATGGCCAGGAGGAACACTAACCATGTATGGCCAAGAGGAAAACTAACCATGTATGGCCAGGAGGAACACTAGCCTTGTATGGCCAGGAGGAACACTAACTGTGTCTGGCCAGGAGGAACACTAACCTTGTATGGCCAGGAGTAACACTGACTGTATAAGGCCAGGAGGAAAAATAACTGTGTATGGCCAGGAGGAATACTAACCATGTATGGCCAGGAGGAACACTAACCATGTATCGCCAGGAGGAACACTAACCATGTATGGCCAGGAGGAACAATAACTGTGTATGGCCAGGAGGAACAATAACTGTGTATGGCCAGGAGGAACAATAACTGTGTATGGTCAGGAAGAAAACTAACCTTATATGGCCAGAAGGAACACGAACCATGGCCAGGAGTAACACTAACTGTAAAGGGCCAGGAGGAACAATAACTGTGTATGGCCAGGAGGAACACTAACCATGTATGGCCAGGAGGAACACTAACCATGTATGGCCAGGAGGAAAACTAACTGTGTATGGCCAGGAGGAACGCTAACTGTGTATGGCCAGGAGGAACACTAACCCTGTATGGCAAGAAGGAACACTAACCATGGCCAGGAGGTACAATAATTGTGTCTGGCCAAAAGGAACACTAACTTTGTATGGCTAGAAAGAACACTAACCAGGTATGGTCAGGAGGAAAACTAACCATGTATGGCCAAGAGGAAAACTAACCATGTATGGCCAAGAGGAAAACTAACCATGTATGGCCAAGAAGAACATTAACTGTGTCTGGCCAGGAGGAACACTAACCCTTTATGGCCAAAAGGAATCCTAACCATGTATGGTCAGCTTAATAAGAAATGTCCTTCTCTGTAGAGAGGATTTCCTCTGTGACTGCATTACAAGAAGTGAAGAGAGATTTCCCCAATGGAACACAGATGGAAAAAAGAACCAAACGGGGTTTTACCATTTCCTGTTCCATTCAAAATGGTTTGAGTTAGACTTTAAAATGAGGCAGGATTGAAGCTAGCAGTGTTACAAATACCCAGCTGAACAGAGGAAAACTCTTGGGGAAACTCCCGTACATATCTGTGGAAAAGTAATGCAGGTTATATTGATTTTTCTAATTTAGGATTAGATATATTTGAACTTACATGTTGTTTCTGGGAGAAGCAGAAGGTACTGAGGTCATTACAGCACCAACACTTAAAACACTCTTCATTTACACTTAGTATTATATTACATACAAATTTCAATTCAATTATCAGCCTATGTGAGTTATAGAGCCAGCTCATTTTCAATTTACAGCCAGCCCTAATAACTGCTAATTATTACATATTATATTTTAATAACCATACTGTCTAATTATGGCTTGTTACTGGCGTGTAATTAAACATCTGTGTTTTGTTCAGAAGATTTTCCTCGATACAAGGCAGCCAGTCCCACGCTTGTTATGGGAAAGCGTTTCTGTAGCGCGAGAGGAGGCTGCGCTCCAGCCCACCGAGCAATTACACTGCTACAGGAAATTTAAGAGACTTGAAAATCCTCAAGGAGATTTAGATTTAGATTTTGTTGCGTTTTGATGCAACAAAGAAGGAAAAAAAAGTGAAATACAATATTTGATTAAAAAATGTAAAAAGGCAATTGTTTATTATTCTCAGGGTTTTAAGAAACTAAGGGTCGATTTACTAAAACTGGAGAGTGCAAAATCTGGTGCAGCTCTGCATGGTAGCCAATCAGCTTCTAACTTCACCTTGTTCCATTAACCACCTCCTGTCCGGGGGCCGTTGTATATAATCGGCCGGATGGTGGCAGTGCAGGGTCGGGTGGCCTTTTACAAATGGCCTCCCCGCCCCCTGCATGTGCGCGCTCCCTGGGAGCGTGCAGCACCGCGATCTGGTGCCCGCTGTTTCCTTCGGACACAGTGGAACACCGATCGTCGGACGGGACCTCTGTGTGAGGTCCCGATCATGTGATCACTGATTGGCCAATCAGTAATCACATGCAGAGTAGTAAGCAAGATGTCACTTGTGACATCATTGCATACTACGAGTGAAATCTGTGAATGATCACAGAGGTCACACGTTACAAGGCTATTCACAACAGCCTTGTACCATGTGGCAAGGTGTGACCAATCACAGCTCACGCAGTATTTCTCAATGGCTGCAAGAATGCAGCCAGAGAGAAGGAGAAATGATTGCTTTTACATCCTTTATGGGTGTAAAAGCAATCAGTGTAAAAAAAAAAAAAAAATCTTCATAACCCCCCACAAGTAGTACAGTGTCACTATGGTGACACTGTACTGCTAGGGTGACAGAATGTAAAAAAAAAAACCAAATAATAATACAAAAAAAAGTTTAAAAATTATAATTTTTGGTTATAAACTAATTTGGGTTATTTTTGTTTTACTAAAAAGATAACGGAATAAATTTGGGGCAAGATTTATGATGAAATACTATTTATTTGCAAAATTTTGTAAGAAAAACACTTTTTTTTCAAAATTTTTTTCAAAATAAAAGTGGTGAATAAATACCACCAAAATAAAGCTTTATCTGTCATCTGTCTAAAAAAAAATGCTAAAAAATTCATATGGGTACAGTGTTGCATGACCGCGCAATTGTCATTCAAAGTGTGAAAGAGCTGAAAGCTGAACAGGAAGGGCCTGGACAGGAAGGGGGGAAAGTGTCCGGACTGGAAGTGGTTAAGCTTTGACAAAAAAAAACCCAAAAAACTGGAAGCTGATTGGTTTCTCTGCAGAGCTGCGCCAGAGTTTGAACAGTTTGAACAGTTTTAGTTAATGAACCCTTAGTTTCTTAAAACCCTGAGAATAATAAACAATTGCCTTTTTACATTTTTTTATCAAATATTTGATTTCACTTTTTTTTTCCTTCTTTGTTGCATCTCAGTGCTGCTGACCACCTCTTTACAACCATTTCCTGTCTATATGCACACCACTGATGGTTGAATTAAATGTTTGGGGGCGGGTTTTCTATTGGTGACAACAGGGGATGCTATCTCCATGATTTGTGCTGAAATGGCCACTTGTGGTCTCCACCAGGGTATGCCTGTGATAGGATAACAATTCTGGAGAGACAGGCACACAGCATTGTCGACGTAAAACATGCAGTGCTTGCACAAGACAGGATCATCAGGTTTTTTTTTGTTTGTTTGTTTTTTTTAGCTGAAGATTATAAAATCTTGAAAATGACTTTTGAAATTACATAACATATTTATGCTTTTATGAGATTTTAGTGATAGGGTTTACATCTGCTGTACAGTTATTTTATAAACAGTGTTAAACACGGTTTCCATCTGTGCTGATTCCTAATTTCAGGAAATCAAAACACATTCTCTACCCCCATCTCTTTTTGCTCTTTGCGGCTCCCTAAAGACTTTCAATTACAGAGAGACGATCTGAAAGCAAACATCTTCTGCTCACTCTTTGGAAATCCCATGTGACACCGATAGGAAGGCAGCACCTTGTATAAAAGGCTTCATTTTAACATTTAGCAGTTTTTTTTGAAGTTGGTTCAGAGACCCGAACAATTTAAAAAATTAAAAACAAAATTCAGTTTAAAATCCTATAGACAAATAAAGATAAAACGAAACCAAAATAATGTGCTTTGGTCACATTTCATCTCATTTCATTTTCAATTAGAATGGACTTCTATACTTTTATATCTAAATGGAATCATTTTAAAGATACAAAAAATGCAGAACAAGGGCTTAGTAAAAGTCACAAGGTTTTTTTTTTTACCTTAATGCATTACATGCATTAACCTCCCTAGCAGTCTGATTATGTCAATATTTCTGTGCTCAAAGTGGTACATTGTTTTCAGTGGAAATATTTATTTTTTTTATTGTAGGCCTGTAATTCTTAGGAATAACTCACTGAAATCTGTCCGAACAAGAGTCTAGTAAACATCCCGGGTATGATAAAATTTGAAAACACGAAATCATAAATTATAATTTAATAAATAATCATAAAAAATAATAATATAATAATAATAAATGTAATTCAATAATATAATCAAACCAAAAACACTGAAATGTGAAATAGAGCGCCAAGTTCGCACATCACTGAGCTCAGTCACAGAATCGTTTTCAGTGTCTGATGAGGAATTTCCCCCACGAATCATTATCACTCAATTTTGCAAGTGGTTCTGATTTACTATCGCTGTTCTCTAGCCGGTCTAAAAACCGCTTTTGACCTAAAGGGACGCTTTTTGGACGCCATGGACGTTTCTCAGTTTCCAGGCAGAAAGAACAGTAAAAATGCAGGCAGGGCGCCGGACAAAGCACTCGGGACAAAATGTATGTGAAATGGTTTGATACAGGAATGTTATACTATGAGATTTTAGTGTATTGAGTGAATGTCACATTTTTACATTTTTGAAATTCCCACCGGTTCTGTCCCCCGTACGTCCCGACGTCGCAGGGAACGGAACCCGGAAGACAGATGCCGGCATCGGCCACAGGAGATGGCCGGGGACACTGCAAGGGGGACATCGCAGGAGCGCAGGACAAGGTAAGTGCTGGAGGGATCCCGGGAGCAACGCTGCAGTGTATTCCCGAGTGTAGCTTGGCGTTACCACTTCTGGTACTGAAAGTTGACCCCGAGCTACACTTGGGAATACCGCCAGGGGGGTTATGGTAAAAAGAAAACCTTTCACTAGCTGTCTGCTTCCCTCACTCCCTAAATATTTACCTGAGTTCTATATTGATCCAGCGTCGTGCCCACCTGCAGCATTGCTGCTCTTTCTTTCTGGTCTCACAGGGCAGATTGATTGTAGCCGGAGCCATTGACTCCTGCTGATATCAATCAAATCCAGTGAGGAGGGAGTCGGGGGGGGGGGGGCAGGGCCGAGCTGTACTGTATGTGTCTATAGACACACGCTGCCCAGCTCGTGATTGAGCCTGCATGCCTGTCCCAGTGAAGACACAGCAAACCCAAATACTCCTGTGCTTAGGGATGGACTCAGTATAGATTAGGACCAGGGGTGGACTGACCATTTGGAAACTCGGGCACTGCCTGAGGGCCCGGGGTCAGTAGGGGGCCCCATGAGATGCCCCTGGTACCTTTTTCATAGGATTTTTTGAGTTTGGGCAAGGACACAGGGGCACAGGGGCAGACTGACAATTTGGAAACTCGGGCACTGCCCGAGGGCCTGGGGTCAGTAGTGGGCCCCATGAGATGCCCCTGGTACCTTTTTCATAGGCTTTTTTGAGTTTGGGCAAGGACACAGGGGCCCCATGATCCCCTATTGCCCGGGGGCCCCATGAGTTGTCAGTCTGCCCCTGCAGGGGCCCCATGATCCCCTATTGCCTGGGGGCCCCATGAGTTGTCAGTCTGCCCCTGCAGGGGCCCCATGATCCCCTATTGCCTGGGGGCCCCATGAGTTGTCAGTCCACCCCTGATTATGACCACATCTCTAATGTCCTGAAATGTGCACGCCTTGCTGCCCTCAGTAGACCGGGGAAATCCAAATGTACCTAATGGAGAAAAAACCAAACAGAGGCCTAGTGCATTACATTACAAAATGTATTTAATAAATGATTTAATAAATGATAAAAGCAGGTATTGTACTCACAAAATGACAAAACAGTCAAAGGCACATCATGAAAGAACAACGCTGTCCAATCCGCACTACGTGTCTGTCCGCAATGAGGACTGTGGACGTCCAACAGCCTAACGCGTTTCGAGGACTTGCCTCTTCCTCAGAGCCAGAGCCTACATGTCCGTCCCAGCATCAAACTGCTTGCTATGGAGCAGAAACAGAAGAGGAGGAAACGAGAGAGCCTTCGGGGGACCTCAAAAGAGGAGGTTCGGGGTTGCTGTGTGCAATACCAGTGCACAGGGCAGGTAAGTATAAACCTGTGTATTATTTTAATAAAAAAAAAAATTGACTCTACAATCACAATAACACTTCTGCCTTGCAGCGGTGGGGTCCTTAGATCGAATCCCCAGCCGGGGCGCTCTCTGTATGGAGTTTACATTGCTTGTGTGCATTTCCTCCCACACTCCGAAGTCATGCTGGTAGGTTAATTAGCTGTTGTCTTAATTGGAAATAGTATGTGTGTGCTGGTCTAAAAATGTTAACGGCAGACCCTGGCTAATACAGCTCTGGTATGCAATTCAGGTATGAGACCACAGAAAAATAAGGTTTCAAGGTTAGAAGTGTGACAAAGATTGCAACACAGTCATGGTAGATAGGTAAAGCTCCCCACATGGAAAAAAAATATATTTGAAATATATTTTAAAAATATTCTTTCCAAATATATTGACATATATTCAAAATACTAAAATTTTGGCCATATTCAATATATTTAAAAAAAAAAAAAATTATATATATATATATATATATATATATATTATTATTATTATACAGTATTTATAAAGCGCCAATAGTTCGCTCAGTGCTGTACATTACAAAGGGGGACAGAACATGTGACAGAACAATACCAATACAATGCAAAACATGAGGGGATTGAGGGCCCTGCTCTTTCAAGCTTACAATCTAGGAGATATATATATATATATATATATATATATATATATATATACTGCATGTTGAAATGCATTTTTTATATATTACAAAATATATGTAAAATATTAAAAAATTTTTTTTTTTTTTAAATATATACTTCAAATTTTAATTAACATATAAAAAAGTCATTTTAACATATATTTTGACATATATTTGCAAATGCATTCCAAAAATGTAGATTAAATGTATTTTTAAAGACATATAGCATATTTGAAAATGTATTTTTATAACCATTTTTGGTATATTGTAATAAAAATGCATTTCAACATACAGTATATATTGAATATGGCCAAAATTGTAGTATTTCAAATATATGTCAATATATTTGGGAGATTTAAAAATATATTTTTATTCCATGTGTGTCAGCTTAAAACAGGTAACTAAATGAACATTTAAAAAAATGAATAAGTGACACACCTAAAGGATTTGTAATTCTCTTCAGCAGGCACCCCTGCCAGGCAGCATAGTTGGGTTGGTGAGCACACTTTTTTCCACTGCAGTTATGGTACAACTGGCTCACCATTCTGGTCATAGCCTGCCGATTGGACACTAAAGGAGTAGCGGTACACTGATGAGGTCAATACGCTGCTCTCTGCATCTCATTGGCTTCAGTGACTCCTCAGTAATTGAAGGGTCACAGTGAATTTCCAACTCAACCATCTGGCCTCGGTGATCCAGAAACTACCAGCAACATGTAATGTGTACTGTATTTCCCATGGTTTGACTCATTAGGTCAGCTTTCATCAGGGGCGGACTGACCATTTGGAAACTCGGGCACTGCCCGAGGGCCCTGGGTCATTAGGGGGCCCCATGAGAAGCCCCTGGTACCTTTTTCATAGGCTTTTTTGAGTTTGGGCAAGGACACAGGGGCCCCATGATCCCCTATTGCCTGGGGGCCCCATGAGTTGTCAGTCCACCCCTGGCTTTCAGTATTGATTTTACTACAGAAGGCTATTACTATCAGAAAGTAAAAACATTATCCAGTCTTAAAAGCAGCTCCAGGCAAAGTGGGAACTACTTCTCCTTCCAGGAAATATTTGCAGCTGGACTAAAGTGAGAGTCTACTTGATATTCTTTCGTTGGAATGTTACATGATCTGCTGCAGTCCGATTCAGCAGGCTTGTCATGGTTCACCTGAACAGGAACACAGCTCCTTGTCCCATCGCTCTGTGGTGTTGAACCTCCCTTTCTGAGAACTATAAGGGGGGATCAGAATCAGCAAACCCCCCAACTCTGTATATTAAGAAGACAAGGATATCAGCAATGCATTTAGCAAGCAAGACAGCAATGTGTACAAAATAAAGCCAGGATGGAAGTGAGTGAGATACAACAAGAGGGCTTCTGTGTCGTTTTAGATGCAATATGTCCTCAATGGACACCTTAACTATTGCCATTCAAACACTAGCAGTATTCTAAGATACCGATACCATAACCCTAACTCTGAACCCAACCACGAACCTTAGATCTCACCATATGTTTTGCCTCCAACATATCCTCAAAATCCCAGTGCCAACCCCTTTCCTCAACCTATTTTCTAACCTTCAGCCCAAGTTGATACTTTGTCTCTAAGCCCAACACCTGACCATTCAACCCATTCGTTAACTCTCAATCTAATACTTAAACCTCAAATCACCCCCTAACATACAATCTATTTTTTAATCCTCAGCACAACCCTTTACCATCAATCAATACCCTATCCCTAAGACCAATACCCAACCCTAAAACTCATTTGCTAATCTTCATTCTAATACCTAAACCTCAGTCGATCCCCAAACTCTCAAACTATCTCCTAACCCTCAGAACAACCCTTCTCCCTTAACCTATCCTGTAGCCCTCATCCTGACCCCTAATCCTTACTCCATCCACTATCTCCCAACCTAACCCTTAAACCTAAATCTTAACTCCTAACGTCTCCTTTATCCATCAGATCTGCTACTAACCCTCAACCTAACACCATACACCTAAAATCAACCCCAACCTGCCCTCTACCCCTCAGTCTACCACCTAAACCTCAACAAACCCCCTAAACCTAGCCCTAAATCTCATTCTCATTCCCAGCATTCAATCCAAATCCTTACCCCAACCTTATTCATTAAACCTTTCCCCCCCAAACGTAATCTTAACCCAAATTGGTAACTTTATTAATCTTTCAGCACAATAACGGCCGTACTCATAATGGCGATACTTTTGCTCAATGTCTTGGCACCAAAGTATGATCCCATAACCAGGGGCAGACTGACAACTCATGGGGCCCCGGGGCAATAGTGGATCATGGGGCCCCTGTGTCCTTGCCCAAACTCAAAAAAGCCTATGAAAAAGGTACCAGGGGCATCTCATGGGGCCCCCTACTGACCCCGGGCAGTGCCCGAGCTTCCAAATGGTCAATCCACCCCTGCCCATAACAGATGGTTAGCCACAAACATTTTTGTAGCTATCTAATTCACCAAAAGCCTGGAGATGGAAATGCCATGCCAGGACATATGCAGCAAGTGATTTATTTAAATTCCCCTAGCCCCAATTAGTTATTTGAAAATAAGTTAGGAGGAAAATTCCAAGCTGAGGAAGTGGCAAAAAAAAATATATCAGCCATGCTGGTTTGTCATATTCCATGTCATATCCTCCTGCAGCAAACTATTTGGTCCAGGTCTCCAGGGTCAGGTGCTAAAGGGAAAGGATAAAGAGGTAGCAGCCCTTAATCCACCTGCAGGATAGTAATGGATGTCATCAGGGCTGCTGTTAGAACCCCCCCCCCAAAAACCCCCCCCCCCAAAACAACGCAGTTTATTATGGTTCAGTTATGAATGAACACAGTGAGTGATCAGTACTGGTCACTCACTGAGTTAATTCAGGAAATAAGGGGATGGTAAAAGTGACATATTTGCTAGACTCTTCCCCCACACTCCATCCTGAAAGATCCTATTGTGAGCTTACAGCTGCTGGGGGGAAGGGGAGGAGGGAAGCCGGCAGCACTGTGAGGGTGGGGGCCTGGGCAGAAGGGGGGAAAGTATGGTGCACGGGGAGGGTGATGAGTGCAGCGGGGAGGGGGCAATTACTGGAACTGGTCCCCTGTATTACTCTTCTCTCTCAGGGTGAGGAGAAGAAGCCAGATTTTTAGCTGCTGCAGAGAGAGCCATAAAGGGGATTGGTTCCAGTAATGGCCCCCCTGCCATGCTGATCAACCTCCCTGTCCAAATCTGAATGACCCAGCTGTCTGGGCCCCCCTGCTGGCCTGGGCCCTGTACATGGGGACTAGTGGTACCTTCTTATCCATGGCCCTGGAAGTCATTGTGCCCTCTTCTGAAAACTAGTGATGGTTCACATGGGCCAATGACATTATTATTATTATACAGGATTTATATAGCACCAGCAGTTTGCTCAGCGCTTTACAATATAATGGGAGACAATACAGCAACAATACAGTTCAATACAAGAGGGATAGGAGGGCCTAATCCTGGGAGCTTACAATCTAGGAACTGATAAAAGTGTTGGACAGTGACTATCAATGGTTTCATACACACACGCACTTGTCATTGAACATCAATAAACATTATACAGACCCATCAGAAGTTGGCAATATTAAAACAATATTATCAGATGGGAAAATGATCTACTTTTATTCACAGCTCGTTACATGTCATTGAGAATTCATGGTGAAGACAAGAGTTGGCTCTCATGATTGTACATCAGTGGTTAGATTTGAGGTTACAGTGGTATCCAGGCCATCTCACCATTTTCATATCATAAAACAAGACAGTAAAAGTAAGTCATGTGCTCACCATGGTAGAAAAAGCCTTTCTTTCATGCAAACTTCACC